GCGCAAGGGCTTCTTCGTATGCGCTGCTGCTTTGGTCGAAACCATCTACCACTATCTGTAGCTGGTCTCTTTGGTACTTTACCTCCGTAATTTGCACAAGCAATTCAGCCATATCACTTTTTAATTGCCTATTCCTTTCTCTCGTCGCATAAATAACATTTATGAAAATGTAATTTATGATAAGAAGAATAGTAATTTTCTTATGAAAAATAGTGAATAAATATAAACTAGACGTTATTGACAGTTGTCTTCACAAAGTCACAAATTCATTTAAGGGTCAATGTATACGCTTCTATAACAAGATTACGGTTGATATGGTGGATATACAAAATTTGCCATTCACGAGGTTTAAAACTATAGTAAAACTTTATTCTAAACGTTATTATTATAGAACTTCTGCTTACATGAATGACAAAATTCCGTAGTAGTAACACGTTTAGCTCTTGCAGGTATTGTTGATCTAAGATGTTTACATTAAATATTGTAAATAAATAAGTTAATAAGTAGTAATAATAAGTATTCAAATGCATATTCCCAAAGAGCAACCCCTAGAGTTTCTTGCTCATTCGTTGCAGGGGAATCTACCTTACGAATGAGCAGTAGAGTTTATTCAATATACCGATTTCAAATGTAATTTGCTTACCTACGAAAGAAAGATGATTTGACTTTGCTGACGACGCCAACGATCGTCAAACACGTTAATATAATGTACCTACACTCATCAAAAATCATTGTTGACAGAGAGCCGACAGAGCTGTTTAGTTCCTATAACAAAGTTTTTATTCCACAACAATACTACTTTGTCGACAAAGTTTTTTCTGAATGCCAGCCCCCCTAGTATGCCGTCTCGATAAAGTTATTATATCCACATTTAATTCTCAAATTCTTTATTTAATCTTTATAATAATCTTTATTTTAACATAACATAACATAATGTTGTATATTTTCTAGTGGCAGGAGTCTCCTTTTAAGCATATAATGCCTGTGCCTGTGTGTGAGGAAACTCCGCTCTTCCATTACAATTTAATTTACGTTAGGATTAAGATTAAAGTTAATAAATACAGTACTTAAAAAACAAGATTTCACATCACTTTTTACAAATCACATTTACATTTTAAGTGTATACCTCTATATCCCACTAATAATAGAGTAGTGCATTAACTCAAAAAATGTAGTTTTTTTTTTCAAATATATGTAAATAGATGTATTATTATTAGATATCTAACCAATTTCATACTTGCCAAATACATATAAGAATAAAAGGGAAACAAATATTTCATAGCTTTCAGCAATTATTCAACTGTTTAAATTTTATATCCAGCAGTACTTTAATCTTAAATTTCGCATTTTCTGAGTCTTAGCACCACTGCAATACAGTGCGATATATTTCTTATTTAATTTTAAAGTTACTTAATTAATTTAGTGTACTTACATTTTGTATGGTTGTATGTATCTATATATAAAGTAGAAGTAGATAAATTCTAATAGTGAACTTGTGTTTGTGCATGACTGAGTGTGTTTGAAATTATGTATGGGTGTGTGTTTGTGTATGCTTGTGTGTTTGTGTATGCTTGTGTTACTTGTATGTGGGAGTATCTGTGAGTGCATTTATGTGTGTGGTTGTGTGTGTGTGTGTTATTGTATTTGTTGTAAGAGTTTCTCTGTTTCCTCATAATTTAACAATTTTAACCATTTATCTATCACCTTTCTACATTCATAATATTGCATTGAATATATATTTAGTTCCTTGTTTAATTTATTGTACAGCTGACTGGAACGCTTTTTATACTGCATGCTTGCAAATGAAGTTTTTGTTTGAGGGGGTTGTGCTACTATATGTTTTCTCCTTTTTGCTTCTATCTATCTATATCATACGGTAGGTTTTTGTGTTTTTTTAAAATGATTTGTTGCAAATAAAGTTTTCTAACCGAAAGTAAACCACAAGTAAGGTACAGGTTATCTGTGGGGTAACTACGTTTTTTAAAATACATCACCTTTAGTAGACCTCGCTGTGCTCGTTCTACCTCAATAAATTTAGATTTTGCTGCACCTCCCCATATGGGTATACAGTACACTAAAACAGACTGCACCAAGGCGACATATATTTCATTAAATAGATGCTTATGGGAGTCTTTTTTTCTGGTAATAGTTACTGGTACAATATGTCTCAACGATCTGAATATCCAAATTAGATTTCTAACCCTGTTAGAAACTTGTTCAATGTGTGGGTACCAGGAAAGTCTTTGATCGATAATAATACCTAAGTATTTCATTTGAGTTACTTTGTCAATAACCGGACAGCCACAATGTCTGTCATTTATATTACCACATGAGTGAATAGTAAAATTAAAATTTTTACTCGGCTGTGCACAAACGTTTATACCAAAGCATATGTAGTTGGTTTTAGAGGTGTTCAGTGTGAGGAGGTTACTTTTCAGCCATGTCGCTACTCGACCCATTCCAACCTCTGTGCTTGACTTTACTGTGTCCCAGGAGTTGCCATAGAAGACAATAGCTGTATCATCGGCGTATGAGAAAAATTGGCATTTTTGATCCGTAGGTTACACAGATCATTTACATAGATCAAAAACAGGGTAGGTCCTAGTACACTTCCCTGTGGGACGCCGTATGATACAACTTCATCCTCACTAACGTATGACCCCATTTTGACTCTTTGCTTTCTACTAGAAAGGTAATCTTTTAGAAGAGTTAGTGGGATTCCCTTTATTCCGATTTTTTCTAACTTGTTAACAAGTATTGGAACAGAGACAGTATCGAAAGCTTTTTTGAGATCTAGGAATACGGCCAAGCACTTATTTCCTGTATCTAATTGATCTGTAACCAACGAGCTTAAGGCAGTCACAGCATCCTCTGTAGATTTCCCTCCTCTAAAACCAAATTGTGCCAGTGATAGTATATTGTATCTATGTAAATAGTTCTGCAGACGAGAATTAAGTATTTTCTCCACGATTTTGGATAAAGCCGGTAATACGGAAATAGGTCTATAGTTATTTATATTTTCTTTTTCTCCCCTTTTATGCACTGGGGTTATAATAAATTGTTTAAGTGAATTGGGAAAAACACCCCTACAAAAACAGATATTGACCAGATGGGTTATAATGGGAACAACTTCTTTTCTCACATATTTTAGGTATTTTGTAGGAATATTGTCCCAGCCCGGGGCACTATCAGATTTAAGGTTCATTAAAATTCTATCCACCTCGTTAGGGTCGGTATCTAGAAGTACAAAAGAATTGGGCTGCGTAGCCAGTCTATCAGAAACCAGGAGGATCATTGAAGGTATTTGATATCAATTGGTCAGCTTATTGTTTGCCAATATTAACGAAAAAGCTATTTATAAAATTTACAGATTCTTTAGGAGTTTTCTTTATATTTAGTAGTTCAATGTTTTATGTTTGTATTTTATATTATATTTTTCCAAAGTTGTTTATTATTATTAACTGATTTGGCTAGTAACTGTCTTTCATATTGTCTTTTTAGTTTTTTAATTAGATTATTGCAGCAGTTCCGGTATCTTGTGTATGTTATTTTTAATGTTTCATTGTGTGGATCTTTACGAAGATGTTTTTGTAGATTATTTCTATGCTTTATACAACGCAGGATGCCAGTAGTTATTCGAGTAATAAACCGGCATTTTTTTTTATCACTAACATGGCGAGCACCGAGACGTCAGATTTTTATATGACTGACTGCAAAAGATTAACATAGTGCCAAACATGGCGGCAAGGTTACAGCTGTTTTCAAAACATTTTAACAGTTCTGCACAGTAATTTTATCAACGTAAAAATTGAGCGTGATATACGAGATGAAAAGAAATAATAAAAACCATTAAATTGATATGTATAAATTATTGGAAAGAGGTGAGAACACTTTTAATACAGTGCAATACAGTAATTAGAACTATGTAAATAATATATAAGGCGCACTATAAGTTTCCGGAACTGGCCACTTACATAAACGATATTTAACAAGTTTTTAATACATAATTTGAAAATGGAACTTTTTGGCAGTTTGTTTCATCTGACTGTCACATTGTGGCGTCATTTTAGAAATTGGTTGTCTTCATCACCATGGACTTAACTCGCGAAAATTTTCGTAGTATGATTTTCTACGACTTTAAGTGTCATTTAACAGCTCAGTGGAGCTTTGCTCGGCATCAAACTGCTTTTGGCGATGAACCACCATGCAAGACGACTATTTATACCTGGTTTGCAATATTCAAACGCGGTCGTGTGAATCTCAGTGACGAATTTCGTGATGGTCGCCCGTTCACTGCTGTAAACAACAAAAACATCGATGCTGTGCACCGTATGATCAAAACAGACAGGCATGTGACATTCGAGCATCGTTAGGCATAGGTATGAGTCAAATACAATCAATACTACACAAACATTTAGGTGTGAAATAGCTGTGCTCTCGGTGGATCCCACACAATTTGACTGAGGCTCAAAAAACGGATCGCGTCACTTGGTGCAATGCGAAGCTTACCAAATTCAACGAAGGGGCGTCAAATTTGGTGTGGGATATAGTAACAGGTGACCAAACATGGATTTATAGTTACAATCCCAAAACAAAGCAGCAATCGAGCGTATGGGTCTTTCGAAATGAGCCGAAACCAACCAAATGGCGCGTGCAAAGTGCCTCTAAGCGGATGATTGCTTCTTTTTTAATAAAACTGGACACGTGGCTACTGTTACTTTGGAGAATAGTTGTACCGTGAACAGTGATTGCTACACGACCATTTGTTTGCCGGATGTTATTGACAAACTCCGTAAAAATAACCGTAAACGCCATATCATCTTGCACCACGATAATGCCGGTTCTCACACGGCCAGGCAGTGAAATGAATTTTTAAAGGTGAATAACGTTGACCTAATGAGCCATCCCGCGTACAGTCCCGACCTGGCACCTTGCGACTTTTATTTATTTCCAAAAATTAAGAACCAGTTACGCGGTCCACGATTTTTATTACCTGAAGAGGCTGTCTAAGAGTATGAAAAATATGTTTCAAAGATTGTCACGGAGGAATGGCATAAATGGTTCCAATATTGGTTAATTCGTATGAAAAAGTGCATTAACGCTAACGGAGAATATTTTGAGAAACAATAAATTCATTTCTGTCCATTTATAGTATTTTTTCCTTATTCATTCCGGAAACTTATGCGCGCCACGTAACTAATAATAGTAATGTAAAATATGCAAAAACAGGAACTTCGAAACTCGACATTTTTGTTTCATCGTTTTTGCGGTGATTATTACACGACAAAAAAAAACACGCAATTTCATATCGTTGTCCTTATTCTCTAAAATGTATAACAATAGTTCATTACCAAATAAGCAACTTTAGCTTTATTAAATGAAATAAATATTGTCGCGGGGATGTTTACCACACATATACTGCCATGCTACGGCCTAGGGTAGAGCGTCCTCACTAGTCGATTATGATCTCTTTTTCTAAAGCTCGATGCGCAATATTTACGGCCTGGTATGGTATTTATTTATGGCCTGGCCGTCTCTTATACTACAAAGGTCAGATGTCCCTAATGAATAAGAGTAATTTTTTATCGTTACATTTTATTGTACATAAGCAACATCACTCATGTTACCAAGGCGACTTAAAACTGCAACATAAACAGTAACACCATGCAACAAATTGTCAACATTCAAGTACTCGTTGGCGGCATGGTAGCGGATCTCTGTGCGCGGTTTGAAAGCAAAGCCCAATGCTGGGATTCCAAGTTGGCGAATGTTTATCATGTCTGTGGTTGCAGGACAGACTATTGGGTCGATTTGTATGCCACTGTTGATAAAAAAAATTAACAAATAAAACATGTGTATAGTACAAACTAAGCGACTCACAAAATTACGTCTGGCCTCACACTTAACGACGCAACGCGCCACCCGCTGCTCCGCCAGTCGCTATCGGGATTTTTTTATAAGATCAAGTGATGGGACAAACAAGTCGTGCGCGTGATGGTAAGCTACACGCCTGTCCATAACAGTTGCAGTGTCACTCAGAGCTTTAAATCGCAAAGATCTGAGTGGCACTGCCACTGCGCCCGTTACCCTGAGACATAAATTCACAAGTCCCTGTGTCTGTAATTTCACCAGCACCCTTACTCTTCAAAACCGGAACACAGTAATGCTAGCATTACTGCTTGGCGGCAGAAATAGGTAAGGTGACAGTACTACACTGGACGAACTCTTTCACAAGGAGATGTACTGCTACTAAAATTGTATCATTTCATTCGAAAGATCGCCGCGGGGCGACGCCGATGCACGGCTGGTAATAATGTTGCTTGCGTAGAACCTATGCAATACGCATGTGTAACACTATAAATCAGGGCCTACCTCAGATGGCGCCCATGGCACTAACAGCTGGGCTACCGAGGTGGTCAATATCTATTTAGAAAGAGCAATCCCTAAAGCTCCTCACCAGTTCTTTTCACGAAAATCTGCCTCACGACTATTAGTAATAATTTTACACTTACAGCTCTTGCACCGCGTCTCTCATAATGACCCAATAAGGGTTGCTATCATCAATTTTAGTGGCTTTTGAGACGAGTATCTTCCTGACAAACTCTACGCTGGTGTCGTTACCTGCTTCCTGAAGCCATGATGACACCTGGTCAGAAAAAAAACAAGTCTAAGGAGGTTGACATAACTTGGAGAATAAGTGAAATTTCACATTGGGCCAGCGGTGAGCCAGCGTAGACCTTCACCCTTCAAACCTTTTCAAGCATATATTACTAATATCTAAATTTAAATTTACTACATAATGACGTCATTACCATTGCAGTAGCTTGCTATTACAACAATAATTTATAATACATTACAAAGGCTGGTATGTAAGGTAGTGATGCAACGGAAGTGTCATAACCGAGACAGATTTCAAAAGTAAAACTTTGCTGAAACGGAAGCGGATGTGGAAGCGGAAGTGTAAAAACTTTAAAGAACTAGTTTGCCTCCCTAAGAGGTGGGATATTTTCTTCAAATTTAAATGGGGTACCCTCTTTCCCACAAAACAAGAATCATCAAAATCGGTTCACAAATGCCTAATGCCAAATGCCAAAACCACCTCTTTTTTTTGAGTCTATTAAAAATAGGCCTTGTTTTTGGTTTCATAATATAAGTGCAATTATTACACAACAAATCAACTCAAATCAAATCATTTATTTCTTTGTGATTGTGACATAAATTGCAATTTTCCGATTAAAGTTACTTTAGAAATATTATGGAAGCAGAAACAGGAACAGATGTGAAAAAGCGTGCGGAACTTCCACAGTTGCGGTAGCAGAAGCAAAGGTATGTTGCACTACTAATGTAAGGGATTGCGAATATCGAGTTACTTCTTCTCCTCGCTGGTACTCGGCCTTTTATTATAGGAGTCAGGCAATCCCGTTTCCGCCGAAGACTGTATAGAGCTTATCACAATATAATTTTGGAAGGAAATGGTACAAATATGTTTACAAAAATAAGTTATTAAAAAGCGAGAAAGCGGTTATACATTGAGCATAAGTAACTTTTTTTAAATTTCTAACCGATATACCTTTTTAAAATAGAATAAAAAACACACACGTTGAAAAAACAAACGCACTTGGCTGAATGCATTGGTCAAATATTTAAAAATTTCACGTAGCGGTTAAAAATGGATTTTAATATAAAAGAAAAGCGAACATTTTCAAGCAACAAGAGAAGAGGAGAAAAATATAGTATCGGCAGCCTACCTCAAAACAATGCTATTATTACTGTCATAGTAGTACAGAACATACCCTGTTGGACATTTCTGTAACATCCGTGGAAACTGCGAGCCTCGTATCAACTATCAGCTCGACCCTTCCCGGTATAACGTTCGGCACGGCACCACCCTGAAACAAATACAAAATATATCGAGATTATTTACAAACTGAGGTCGGGACAACCTATAAAGTATAATAAATAAATGCTTGTGCCGTCCTTTGTGGAACCCCCATACGGGGGATTATTCGGTGTTATTGCATCATTTCTTTCGAGGTGGCGTGTATTCTGACGGGAACCCCACCTTGGGAGATGGATGCCGAAATGCTTGCCGATATATAGAGCAGCTTCGATACGCCAAGAATTATGGCCATCGGAGTGCTGTTTTTAATGGTTACCTATCAGTAGTCGGAAATGAAATTTCCAGAAATTACGTTTGCTCGAATTTTCATAAAGTCGAAAGTAATTGTGAAAGGAAAATGTTTATTTTATAAACCTGACTTAACCTAACCTAACTGAACCTAATCGTGTCTTTGCGATAAACATCTAACATATCCTGAAAGAGCAACGGTTCCGTTATAATTCGGTTTTCAGTGTAAAGAAAATTCGGACAAATGTTATTTCGGACAAAAAACAATTCGACTTTGTGATAGGTTGCCGTTTTTAATGTTCCCAACCATCATTCGTCAGCCGTATCAATCCGGACAAATGGACACACAGAAGACACGGCGCAACATATACTGGCCGAATATCCAGCATTGGGAAAAGGAAGACCAAACATGATTTCCGTGGTTGAGAGCAACCTCTCGCTGCCGGCTGCAGTCAAGGCTGAGGTCGACAGCTGTACGGCGTGGAAAGCAGTGTCCATTGTTCTCGAGTCATGTAAATTCTTTAGGAAGCACCCACAGTTTTATTCACCTCTAACGAATAACAAAAGATGTAGAGCGCCGTACCCAAGATTGAAATTCATTTGGTCGATTAACGTGAGGTCGAATGAATGTTAGATTATTCTGTTACTGATCGAATAAACGCATGACCCAATCAAGTTTAATCGAGAGAACTTTGTGCTTTTATGTAAAACATTATTTGTCGATACACGTTTGGTCGAAAGAACGACAGATCTTCCTTTTGGTGATCGAATTAATCATATATCGATCAACGTTATGTCAAAAGAACAATAGGTATTGTAGTGTGAAACTACGGACCCCTATCATCTTCATCTCTCTCATTATACGTATTTTAGGAAACGCCCTTACTTTTTCTGATTCCTGAAAGAGTTCATGTTAATTAGAATTTATAACCACATACCAAATTCTATTAAAAACCTGGAAAAACCTTAAACCATTCAGCAAATAATAAAATTAAAAGAATTCCTTATTGATAAATGTTATTAAGATTTGAACGATTTTTTTTTTGGCGATAATCATCATCAATCATCATTTAATAACAATTAACAATAATAGAAAAAAACTTCGACATCTCTCCTTAATAATTATTTAAAATGAATGTATTGTATAATGTATGTTTTCCATTACTAATTAAGAATAATGCAATGTAATAATGCGATATAATAATGTAACGTATATTTAGTAATGAAACAATTTCATAATAATAACTATATGAAATTAATTAAATAGTGTGATTTATGAACTTAATCCTCTGACGTTGCTTTCGCATGTCTACCAGCAATTACCTTATATTAAATCTTAAATTTGTAATGTGATATGGAATATACAATTGAAATTAATATTATATTATTATTATTATATTAATAAAGATGTTAACATTTATTTTATGATCGCCATAACGTACCAAAAATACTAATTATTATTAATCATACTTGTCCAGTACTTCCAAATAATAATAATAACAAGAATGACAAGAATAATAATCGTTAACAATAGTCATAAATCACTGATTACAGGACAATGAAAAGCCAAGTCTTAAAATATATGACAGTTAGGACATCAAAACAAATGTAATTTAATTAAAATAAAAATGTATGTAAATAAATTAAGAGGAGCATGCCGAAAAAGTTTTGACGTTGGCTCCGCCCACATTTGTGAGACAAGTATATGCCTCAAGTTCGCGTGACATGCGACAGGAGATGTTGAATTTTGCGCATTAAAAGTACCAATTTCGTTTTAGCGGAATAACTCTAAAACTAAAGGGATTAAAAAAAATCCTTAGTGACAGTTATCGATCATGCATAAATATAATTAATTATCGAATTTTTGTCCTAATAACCTGTAGCATTTCGAGGATGAATCGAAAAAATGTGAAAATTAAAGGTCATTTCGTGATTTTTATCTATCGAGGAAACTTTATTGTTTTATGTTTCTGATTAGTGTCTATGCTTGAATATATCGTGTAGTTACTCATACAATACTTTATTTTTAACTTTAAAGTGGATATACCCCTCTAAAATCAAATCGAAGATTAGAATTTTTCCTCTGCTCCCTCTTAATGTCATACAGTCACGTTCGCATTTACTATTCTATGTAATTAATTGGTGTGACTGTCTACCTCATTATATTACTACTATCTTCGTGTACTCACCCTAACATAGTTGACGTTGACGCTGGTATAGGCTCCGAAATCCAGAGGGTCACTGGCACGCATAATCGCTTTTTGTTCGTCTCTGTATGTGCCGATTACGCCTATTAGTTTAAACAACTGAAAATTATCAAAATGTAAGGTGACCTTATTTCAGAATGTAAGAAAATTATCAAATTATTTAAATAAATCAAATCAAAATCAAAATCAAAGTGATTATTATAATTGTTTTTAATGTTCCCAATTGTAATCTTATTAATTGTATTTTAATTTTTTACCATAATGGTTTTTAATTAGTAACTTGAATTTAATTTTTAATTTTGTTTATTGGTTTAATGAAAGTGTAAAATGTGTAATGTAATGGGATTCACCACTAAATAAATAATTTTATTATTATTATTTCACGATGTTTTGGAGGATTTCATCTGCAAATTCGAATACGTGTAAAAGCGTTGGTATCCCAGTGATGGAAAGGTTGTTTTTCAATGTACGCCTTACGTACGTTACGAAGTTTGGTAGTGGCGTCAGTGACAGAAAAGATGAGGAGTAATGGGTTAGCGTGGTATGGAGATCTCATGCAGAGGGAAGAATGCCATGTAATGAGAAGAGTGTTAAGTATGAATGCGGAGGGATATAAGGGGAAAGGAAGGTCAAAGAAAAGGTGGATGGATTGTGTGAAAGATTACTTAGATTAGAAAGGTGTGAGTATAGAAATAATGGCTGGTAGCGGAGAAAGGAAGAAAAAAACATTTTATGCCGACCCCACCCAGTGCGGGATAAGGACAGGAAGAAGAAGAAGAAGCTAAACTTCGTGCAGGGAAGTATTGCCACCTTACCTATATCTGCCGCTAAGCAAGCTAATTTTTTAAGAGGTTCTCAATTCGGCGGTATGTTTTTTTTTTGTACGTATGTTACGCGATAACTCTGTCTCAAACTTAAATTTGTGAACCGATTTTGATGATTCCTTTTTCTTGGAAAGACGGTACCTCAGTATTAATCCCGTTAAGAAAATATTTCATCTCTAAGAGTAACAAACTTGGGGATGAATCTGGTTTCGTGCTCTTTCCTGTAACCGATTTCCAGATATAATTCTACGAGCTTTTGACGTTGGTTTTTTTAGAACTCTATAATAATAATAACGCACACACTCATAGCCCCGCGCTAGGGAAATATCGCGTATACATCTGTATACGCGGGCATCTGTAAACTCACGAGAGAAATAAATTTAGGCCATGGAAATATTTCTCCCGGCCAGGGAATCGAACCCGGGACCTCTGCGTGGCAGTCCAGGGTGGTAAACGTTCGGCCACGGAGGCAGTTAAACTGTATCCTGAATAACAAATCATCTCATTTGTGTGTGAGTGCCAATGACAGGATTTAGTATAGTCAAGAGCACGTCAAGCTTGACAGTTTGAACTTTGGATCGTTGTTATCGTAAGCGGCATAGAGTTGTATTTAAATCTTAAGTGTCAACTTTGACCCTGTACATTTGATATTGTCCTAAAATTAAAAGCAGTGGCTTACCAATAAGCTACACGCCTGTCCATAACAATTGCAGTGCCACTCAGAGCTTTAAATCGCAAAGATCTGAGGAGCGCTGCCACTGCGCCCGTCTCCCTGAGACATAATTTGACAAGTCCCATGTGCCTGTAATTACACCAGCACCCTATAAAGCCGGAACACAGTATTGCTGACATTACTTCTTGACGGCAGTAATAGGTAAGGTGGCAGTACTTCCCTGGACGAACCCTTTCACAAGGAGCTCTGCTGCTGCTACTATTATATATGAGACAGAACTGTCATTGCAACAAGATTTTGGCAGAATAACAAATATTATCATAATTGTAATATAATTTTAATGGAGTCTTATTGGTAGTGACCAGCGGTTTCAAGGCGAGTCATCGGAGATGAAGCGGTAACATCTGTTTTGCTAGATCTTTAGAGACTTAGGTATTTACTATTAAATAACGGTCTGACAAAAAACGCATCTGTCGCTGAATATCATATTTGAAAAATATCATGTTCGCAAAACATGATATTTGCAAGACATCATGTTCACAAAATATCATATTCGCAAGATACCACATTCTAAGTACAGGTAACAACAGCAGGTCTTACTAGCGACAGACAGAGGGTTAGATTAGGTAGTATTAAACGCACCCTGTGTAACTGGAAATCAGAAATTGTCAATTTTTGGTGCAGATACGTTAAACACAAATTTCATAAACCGTCTTCCTCTTTCTCTTTGACTATACTCATTTTTTGTTTGTTTTTCTCTATTGTTTTTCTATTTCATTTTTCATCAGTGAAATGCAAATTGTTCTTTTTTAATTTTATATTTTGTATTTTTACTGTTTTTCTTAACAATGATTTAAAATTAATAATTTTTTATATTTTGTTCCTCTGATATTTATATGATACTTACCTGATATTTTGCGAATGTGGTGTTTAGCGAATATGGTGAATTGAGAATGTAACATCTTGAGAATGTGATGTTTTGTGAACATGATGGCTTGGGAATATCATGTTTTGCGAACATGATATTTCGCAATATCTGTCTTTATTCAGTGACAGAGAGCAAAAAACATATGATACATATAACGCATATAAGGTTATTATCTAAAGAATGTGAAAATTCGTTACACGACATAATATACTTGTAGGGAAACATTTAATTCCCTTGTAATCATCTTCAAGTCTAGTATAGGTGCGCGCCCCGCGCGCTACCAGTCGTTCCCTCATCGCCGTCCGCATAACTTGTGTAATCAAAAATTTAATTATAGTTGGAGTCAAAATTATACGGTTTCCACGTGGAATATCACTGTGTTAATAATTCGCCATGCAGAAGACCACACATTACACCCTAAATACTCTACGTGATGAGTGTGTGAGTGTCCGGGTTGTGACGCCGCGGCAGTCGACATCGCGCGCTTGTGAACGTCGGATTTATGTCAAATTTTCTCCGCCCTTAAAATGTTCTTATTTTATTCATATTATACGCGAGAGGAAACCCCCTCCCGCCTCCCCCACCTCACCGCCTGAAATTCAGGCTAGCGTCCAAATCTCTGGACTTTTTCTCTGCCTATAAAGTCGGTAGTGAAAAAAAACCTACCTTCTCCATAGCGGTTGAAGCTAAAATAGAAGAACCATGGCCACTAGGACCTCGAGTTGTGAACTTCATCTCTGCAAAATGTAAATGCAAGTTATGTGAATCTGAAACCAAATTGCCTCAGCAAAGGCAGGACATTTCGTGTAAAATTGAACAAAATTTCTTTTGCTTTGCAAACAAAAGCAGTTTTTAATTGTTTTCAATGAAAATTGTGTGACAAAATAAAACTCAAGTAATGTTCACAAAATTCCCACACTTGGTGTAACAAAGCCACAACTGATAATATTACATGTTCTTAGATTTTCGCGATAGTTACACATACAAAATGAAACTGTTTTTCCGGATTTAAATCGCGTATACTTGTTTTTTCAAACAAATCAACGTTTCGGGCCCTTTACGGGTCCAATGGTCACGGTATGACTGAGGTGGTAAAGTCATCAATCAGTTATGTCTAATATTAATGCAAACCAACAAAAACCACAAAATAATATAATAGTAGTTTACGTGACTGTTGCATAATGAAAGGCATTAAAATACGAGTGAGTGCATAAACTCACTTGTCGGCTCGTTTCATAAGAACCGAGATAATGTACAGAAGACTATCTCACTTCCAACTGTCCTAAGACGGATCACACTGAACCAGCTCGCTGCTGTAATTGCAACGAAAACCAACCAGCAAACTTCCGGCAGTGCAGAGAAAGGCAGAAATATCTAGCTCTCATGAGAGATAGGCAAAACCAAGCTACTTACAAAAAGTATACAACAATTGCTAAGAAAATTGATTCGAACCTAGCCGAACCTGGGAGCTTGCTGGAGAAAACTGTTAAGGCACATAATGATATTCAGTGGACCAAAAAGCTAGCTGGAGTCGATAATCCCGGACATATGGCGTTGTCATTTCTCTCAATTATAAACAGATTTGTAGTCCTTCACTTAAGACGGAATCCGGCTCCTTTGCTACGATGATCCCAGAGCAATGCGAAGTTTTAGCCGAAGCATTTCTGAGCAATATGAAGCTTACGGGAGCCTGGGTCTCAGATCCTGAAACTGAAGCCGCTGTTAGGAACTCCATTGAATATTTAGATAATTGTAACACATTTGGTTCTTGGAAACTTGTTAGACCATATGAAATAAGTAAACTACTTAAAAGACTCAAACCCCGTAAAGCACCAGGTTTTGATGGATAACATAATATGCTACTTAAAAACCGTCCCAAAAATATGTAATCTGTTTTAGTAAAATATTCAATGGTTGTCTTAAGCTTGGTTATTTCCCCTACTGCCTTTAAGCATGCTAAAGTTATACCTATCCTAATATATAAAACCTGGAAAAGACGATAATCATACTCACAGCTATAAACCAATAAGTCTTCTGCCTGGTCTGAAACTCTCGTTTTGCTGAAGGCTCGCTTTTGCCTGAACAGTTTGGATTAAAGAAAACGCATTCTACAGTTCAACAATTAGCAAGAGTTTCTGAGCACATTTCTCATTCTCTTAACTTAAAAAAGTCTACTGACGTGATACCATTAGATATTGAGAAGACATTTGATACAGTGTGGCATACTGGTCTCCTTCATAAACTCGTTATAAATGACATTCCTTTAAGGCTTGTTAAAATGATTCAATCTTACCTCACAAATAGAACGTTCTCAGTATCATTGGCTGATCAAACTTCTTGTGCCAAATATATACCAGCCGGTATACCACAGGGTTCCATTCTTGGGCCATATTTATCATAATGTACTTAAATGACACCCCCAAACAGCCTTATACGCACGTGGCCATATACGCTGATGATACGGCCACATATTCATCCGTAGAGGATATAAATCTCATCATAAGTCGCCTTCAATTATTAGTTGAACTGCTAAGTGACTACTTCTCTAAGTGGAAACTAAAATTAAACTCCAATAAAACCGAAGCAATCATGTTTTCTAGAAAAAGGTCTTTACCAAAAAGATTGGTCTGGATAGACAACTTTACAATACCATGGAGCAAAAGTGTCAGATACCTAGGAATTACTCTAGATAACAAAATTAAACTAGTCACATAACGCCAACCAATTAGTAATCAAAGGTATGAAGGCTACTTGTGCATTGCGACCATAGATTTAGTATATCCATAGATTGGCCCTGAAGTATTGGAGACAAGACCAAAACAAAAATACATCTGTGTATATACAAAAATACATATGCGTATAATGTGCATATGTGCAAGCTAAATAGTGTTGCGCCATCCACTGAGTTAACTTTAATATCGATTAACATATTACACTGGCATTTCACTTCGTCGTATTCACCAAAATGTCTTATCGCAAAACGCCGAGACGTTAATTAACTAATTAATTAATGATTCAATACAAAATTAAGAAAGCCACTATCACCTTCTGGCAGTGCCATAGGATGGTAGGTAAACAATGGTAACTTTCAAGATAACACTATGGCTCTATAAAACGGTGATAAGACCCATGATCAGTTACGGCGCGATAGTTTGGTGGCCACGAACCAAGCTGGCGACCGCAACCGACAAGCTGGACAAATTCCAAAGACTAGCCTGCATGGCGACGATTGGCTGCATATAGAGCTACTGGGTACTGGCGATATATCTCTGTACACATATGAAGATACCTTGCACCTTGGCTTCAATGTCACCTACAAACAAATATAACTATTATAAAATATGATATGATGACATAGAAGTGCATCACAGCAGTGAATTTGCAGATAAGTAATAGAACAAAAAACCGGCCAAGTGCGAGTTGAACTCGCGCGGAGGGTTTCCGTACAAACTTAACATTGTGGTTGAAGAATGTGTTCTCCAATAGATTCCAACAGCAAATATAGGTTTATTCGCACAGTGGTGAGAGATTTAAAGAGAATTTCTTTATTTTTTCAAATCTTTAGGCTCAGTAGTTTCAAAGATAAAGGGGAGAATGATCAATTTTCGTCTATTTTCTTAAACAACTTAAAAATATTTATATTTCAAAATTACAAAAAATATATACTTGAGAACTTTCCCTCCCAATAGTGAGTTCAAATTCAGACTTAATTTATTTACGTTACACGTTTTAGTCACACAAATGCATATGTGTACCAAATTTCAAAATAATCAGTCCAGTAGGTTTGGAGTAAATTGGCTGCGACAGACGGACAGATGGACCCAAAAGTGATCTTATACGAGTATCGTATTTCGGAACAGAACAAAACTCTAACAACAACAAATCGCTGATTTGTTGTTGACGAGAGTAGTACTACACAAAAATCCATTAATTGTAAGACATGAATAATGTGGGTACAGAACCAGAACGTAGCTTTGCTCTTTGCTTGCCTCTAAAGGAAAGGCATATTTCCTTAAAGTGTTTGCTGCATATTTTTGAAAACTTTTTGGGAACCCAGTCTTCTCTCTTTAGCATTATAAGCCATTTCTGTCGTACTTCAATGTTTTGAGGAAATCTTAATCAACAAAATAATTGACATAAAAAATGGGTGCCTCAACTACGCTATTAAAAGAAATTTTCGTTTTAATGTAGACAAAAAATAATGCACTAATGCAATATTAATTAAATATAAAGTACTAAAACCAGAAATTTCTGATTCAATAATATTAATAATAATGAAGATGATTTCGGCTGTATGCAAGCCACGCCTTTACCTTTCTTTTTTTTTCAGTGAATGACTTTTTTTTTATTGCGTCAATCTCTATGAAAGTGGGGTTATGAATTTCAGAAATTCTCGTATTTGATATATTTTTTAATTTAATTCGTACACATTTGGGTTATTAATGTACTTGAATGGTATAATTTTACGGATATATTTATGTAAAAAACTTTTGTGGTAGTGCTTTTAGACAGCTAAAAATTTAAATAGTACTTACATGTAAAATGTACAATTCTGCGAATTTTCCTTTTTAGATGAGTTACATCCGGGCACTGAACACGTTACCATGACTAATAAACGTCCGTTTAACAATATTTCACATTTTAAAAACAATTATTTTTCAAAAATAAACGAAATTTGTTTCGTTGTCAGCTGACCCCAGGTTCATACAGTCTCATAGCGTATAATGAAGTGGTCTCGTCTACGCATCTCGCTCTAACATACGTGTATACTAACGCTCTTTCAATTGCATTGCCAATCTATGGGTACCTATATATTAAATCTATGATTGAGACCAATTTTAAATCGTAAAGCAAAGTTAAGCGCCCAAACAAAATTACGTATTTATTCGACTCTTATTCGACCCTGTTTAACGTATGCCGCGTCTGTTTGGAGCAGTTTGGCTGACACAAACTACAATAAACTTCAAGTTGTTCAGAATAAAGCTTTAAAAATAGCGTACAACACACCGTTCAGAACCAACCAAAAAACTCTCCACCGTAAAATTAAATTTGCATTAATTAAAAATTTTGTTTTAAAATTATCCCGTAAATTTTATCTATGCAAATATCTAGCTCACTCTAATTCTATAATTTCATCAATTGGCTAATCTAGACCAAATACGCTTTCGTAATCTGGAACTTATAATAGGTACAAGTTGCCGCATCACTATTTCTTGAACAGCTGACCAAATCAGTCTTTATTGTAATGTATAGAACCTTAAAAGCTATACAAAATTGTTTTACTATAGCAAATATATATCTTTCTTTGTTCTTCAACCAGACATATATAGATAGTTGAACGATGTTAACTCAAATGTTTGTAACGTCATAGCCTAGTAAACGCAGCGAATTTATTCTAATTATAATTTAAGAATACGATCTTGTTTTTTTTTATTGTAAACATTGTTTATGACAAAAATAAGGACTTTTCAATTTTTTTTTATTTATTAAGGCTTTGGCAAAGCCATTAGCCCAAACATGAAGTTTAATTATGTTTCTGTAAATATGGCCGCCACAAAGAGGATAGGCAATTTGAGGCGGCATGCTTGGATTGACTCGGGATTCCTTAAAACGGGCATTTTACGGGCATTATTACGGGTATTTTTGTTTGACATTCGTATAATTTCGCGTTTTAATCTTCGATTAAGGCACAATAGCACTATACTATTCCACTTTAAACTAGATTTCACAAAATAACTGAAAGTCAAAATAAAAACGACACTTTTCCCTTCAAAAGGTCCAGAGAGAATCGGACTTTTCAATTCAAAATTCAATTCATAGACAAACTAGAATCGGCCCCAACTATTATATCGTTCGATATCAAGTAACGTGTGAAATTGTCAAAATTGTTTGCTATTGACATTTCATTTCGAATAAAACTTCATCTCGACTGTTGTTAGAATTGAGGTCCAATCAAATTGTTTTGTTTTTCACAGATGTTCGAAATTTGAATGTAATAATAACATCGAATTCAATGTTATTATTTATGGAAGCAATAATAACATTTTCACAGATAAGAAATTTGTTCTAATAAAACAGTTTACCTTTATGCTGGTCGTAATTTGCAGTTTTTGAACACATTATAGACAGTTTATGACATGTGTGTAGATAAAATAATAAATTTAATTTTAATAACTTTTGTGACTATAGTGTAAAAATAGGGTGGTTTACATTAATATTCGACATAACTGGTTGATGATTTTACCACCTCAGTCAACCGTGACCATGGGACCTGTAAAGGGCCCGAAACGTTGGTTTGTTTGAAAAAACAATATACGCGATTTAAATCCGGAAAACTACGCACATCAAAAGTGTCTAGGGATCAAGTACGTTTAAGAGTATTGCTGCAATTAGGGTTAATTATATTAACTTTTTTGTGTCGCTATTGATACTTTTTAGTGAGTTTTCACATTTAAATAAGGAATATTGTTTAAAATTCGATAATAAGAAGAAAATCGATTGTCAATGTGGTTTTGTATAAAAATGAGTTATAGCGTTTTGACAAAATCATTACAATATCTGCATCGGAACCGAAACAATTTACATTATTATGGAGAGACGACATCATTTAACCCGAGAAGTGATGATGCGAGCCGTCGGAATGTTGGAAGCTGGTTCCAGGCAACGTGCTGTGGCTTTCACTCTTAACACTACACAGAGCGTCATAAGTCGCCTCTGGACGCGCTATCGCATGACGGGTAGCGTGGCCGAGCGACATGGAGGACGATCTCGCATCATGACTCGCAGACAGGACCGGTATATCCAAAATACTGCTCGACGGAATCATACCATGACCGCCATGATGTTGGTTACGAGGCTCCACAGCTCCTCAGGCTTGCTAATAAGCGATCAAACAATCCGAAATCGTTTACGTGAAGTGGGTCTGCGATCCCGAAGGCCGCTCAGAGTTCCACCTATTGCACCCTGCAATCGCAGGACACGTTTACGATGGGCTCGCGAACACAGAAACTGGGAGGAAGAAGACTGGCGCTATGTGTGCTTTTCGAATGAATCCCGCTTCGGTATGAGACCGGATACAATACGTACTCGAGTTTGGAGAACATCTGGACGTCATGAACGTTTGAGATATTGTCAGGAAGTTCATCCATATGGTGGGGGAACAATAATGATATGGGCTGGTATTTGGATCGGCGGAAGAACCGATCTCATTTGGATCAGGGGTAACCTCAATGCTCAAGTTTACGCAGAGAGGATTGTTTCAGATGTTATCATCCCTTTGCGAGGCCAGTTGGGTGATTCATTTCAACTAATGCATGACAACGCACGTCCACACACGGCTAGAGTCGTAACACGCATTCTTGCCGAAGCTCGTATCAACGTTCTGCCGTGGCCTGCTCAATCGCCAGACCTCAATCCAATTGAGCACGCATGGGATATGCTTCAAAGAAGAGCTGTGCCGAGTATGCATACCGTACATACTCTACAACAATATTTTGACTTGTTACAAAACATATGGGCGGCAATTCCTCAAAGTGATTTTGATGAACTCATCTTAAGCATGCCAAATCGCTCTAATTGTGTGATTCGTGTTAATGGTGGAAATACAGATTATTAATTTTCTTATCTTTACAATAAAAATGAGCAAAATCATCATTTTCGCCATTTTTTTGTCATTTAATTGACGCCGTTAATTTGAGTTTTTTCCCATTGCAAAAACATCAATTTTAGTTTATTTTAATTAAACATAGGGGTAAGCGGTTAAATAAAACATAAGCATTAAAGTAAGAAGTCGTCCTGGAAGACTGGATTTGGTAAATATTGCTTAAACAATTTTTATTTCAAAAATATTCACTTGATCCCTAGACACTTTTGATGTGTGTAGTTTCATTTCCTATGATACTATTACGTCAAAGTGCTTTTATCACATGAAAGTCTTAAAAATAATTCGAACTACCTGTGTATGTGAAATTTTAAAACTCTTACTACTCATAGCCCCGCACTAGAGAAACCCTAGATCGCGTGTCATGGACACAAAAATAGACAATTACAAATGGAACCACTGCATTATGTTGAGGTTTTTGCTAGTCTTCCGCTAAATTGCCGGTGTGTGTAGTTAAGAATAATTCATTAAAAAAAGAAGAATACATTAAAAATTACCAAACACACACACACAATTCTAATAAGAGTCTATACAACCTCAAATGACATTGGTTGATTGCGCATAACAGTGGAAATGTTGAATCAATTAATTAGGAAGAAATATAATATACACTGGTATAAAAATTTTCTCGATAGAAAATTTCTAGGTTAGTTCGGGGACTAACCTAGAAATTTTACGAGAAAACCACTGTGTTCAATAGGTACTGTACATATACCATTTTGTTTTTATATCAACTGAACTAAGTAGAACCCGTCCGCTCACGCGATGCGCTCCTCCTACCGCAAAATGGCGGCTATTTGGTTTCGCAAATTAGAAAAGCATTCAGTTTAAATACAAGTTTTTATAAATAAAAATTATTGTTCTGCATTGCTAAATAAATACCCTCCGTACTACCAACAAAAACATCTCAAATAAAATGCAGTAATACAGCAAATCCTCTTAAAAAGCACTAATGAAATTTTTGGTGTACTTGGATAAATATATATATTCCGTTTGAGTGGTTCTGTTTACCATGAAACTACTCCTTAAAGTATAGTTTATAAACAATTATATTCAGGGTAACTTAAAAAACGCTACTTACGGTATGTTTGCAATAAATAAACACCGAAATCACCAGCCCAAACAATAACACACACGATTGTCGTGACGTATTTTTGAAGTTGTTTATTTTTTTTAAATGACAGAAGAACCATAAAGTTTTTAATGCCTGGGATTAAAAACTTTATGGTTTGCTAGAGTAGTTACCGAAATAACAATTAATATTAGTTCTTTTACCTGTTATAACTTCGATATCCGATAAATCGGTATAAAATCATCACCGGCACCTTTAGGTGTAGTATGCGTCTACGGCTGCATGTATCGCGTGAGCGGATAGTAAACGATATACATTTTTCGAATGGCTTTAATTTCGTTTGTAAAAGAACAAATTCTGAAATAAAGCCAATATCCCTACCGCTCGACCCAAGCAAATTGAACCGTATTAGTACAGGAAAAATTTTAATTCGTGTTAAGGTAAGTATAGACTCTTAAAGGAAAAAATATAAGAAACCTGCCTTCCGCGGTTGCTTATCATACAGCCCTTGTAAGCATTTTCTTCTAAATGTCGAAACACTATCTGTACAGAAGGAGACAAGTATTTGAATCACAACCCCGGAGAGCAGCCATTGATATATATAATCAGTTTCTTAACCAAGAACCTTACTCTTGGTTAAGAAGCTGATAACATTACTCACGCCAAGGCCTTTTATCCTGATACATAATTTCAATATTGTCGCCAGGAGACACCGGCCCCTCATCGAGAGCAAATCCAATGTTCATATCTTTGAATTCCTTTGTCTCTATAAACTTTACCATACCGCGACGACTACCCCTTTCTTCGTCTGAAATAACTCTTTTTTTAAAACACAAAGGATGTAGTTTTCGTCGAAGTAGCTAAGAGAAAGAATTTCAACAGGTATAATATTATTTGATCCTCAAAGATATTATTGATCTATTGTAAATGTGCACTTTTTTAAATAAACGATATTTTTTTGTGTTTCATATATTTTATGTTCCATCTATATTAGTTGATCTACGGATAAATTTCATTGCATTCAAGGTAAAACTATCATTATTTTAAGCATACTAAATTAATATTTGATAGTCAAAAATAATATTTGATCCTCTTTTTAACCGACAAAAAAAGTAGGAGGTTCTCAATTCGACTGTATGTTTTTTTTGTATGTATGCTAAGCGATAACTCCGGTATTTGTAAACCGATTTTGATGATTCTTTTTTTGTTGGAAAGAGGGTATCTTCATAGTGGTCCCATTTCATTTTGAAGAAAATCATCCACCTCTATGGGTGGCTGATCACGCATGAACCTTTATTTTTATAAATAGCGCCTAAATTTTACTTAAGGAGCAATTCTTTTAATGATTGGTTTTGCTATTCTCCAATTCAAGGCGATTTTCTCTCTCAATATACATTGAGTAATGAGAACCGATTTTTATTGTCTCCTGTGTCAAGTCCCGTATAGTGGCGAACTAGATGATATTTCAATAAAACTTGGCAAATAGATGTAATTACACGTACTTTTCAGGTCGGTTTTTTTAGTACTCTGTACTGAGATTATTTCATATACGTCAAATCTTGATTGTGCCCTCCATTCAGTAGGTTAGGTTAGTATATGAAAAAGCAGCACGAGCCGAGCGAGCGAAGCGAGTGTGGCTTGTCAACGGCCGGCGAGTGAATTAACTCGCGTTTCTTTGCCTTACTTTTGAGGCTACACACGAAACTATCAAAGTTAATTAATACAAATCAAACATTAACTCAGAACAGATTAAAATCGCGAAATAAAACAAACTAATCAGGTAACATACACACAAAAACACAATCGAATTAACCTCCTCCATTTTTAAAGTCGATTACCAAAAATACACAAGAACAAAGAGCTTCCAGCACTTTAGGCACTACACGGCATTATACGAGTATGTATTTAAGTTGTTAATGGCGTCGGCTGCGGCAGGTCTAAATTAAACTTAGTCTGACTTTTCATCAACCCATTTATACGTCTCACTGCTGGGCATGGATCTCCTCTCAGGCGAGGGTTTAGGCTATAGTCCACCACGTTGCCTATTGTGGATTGAGGACCTCTCCGTGAAGACAACCACGGTTTAACCCGATTATCCGATTTGTGCCTACGTTTAAAGTAATGCCTCTGGCTCATAAACCACTACTATAGTTTTCCTTAAAAAATAAAAGAATTACTTAGATAACATGAAGGCGAATCGAAACGTCTAGAACATATTCATAATCATTATTTAAACAAAACAGTCTTTTTCCGAAACCTTTCTGAATCATAACCCTACCTAATTCTGTTTTTAATTGGTCTGTAAGTCTACGATATGTGACGATTGTTGTTACTCTATCAGTCTATACGATCAGAACTTCTTTTCTAACTGGCTAATAACACTGTTAATGAAAGTCGAAGCGACTCAAGAGCACATGATTCGATCTGTAGATTGATTCAGAGGCATATTATGGTATATTACCATCCAAAAATAGATTCAAAGCAAAAAATCGTGCATCCGTTATGCGTGCATATATAAATTGTATATGTATAATTCACTACCGGTGCTTCTGTTTTCATTCTCAATTGGACGTAGTTAAGCAAAAAGGATCCAATCCATAAAATTATCCAAAAATTAGCTATATATACCAAACGGTTCGTAAAGTCTAACCTCTTAGATCAGCAAAAAAATCCAACATATAAACATAAATAAATACATCTGAAGTTACATGACATTATAAGTTTTGAAAAAAAAACAAGAGTGAAAAATCATTTTTAAACTTCAAACTGCCATTCCTCGAAAGTGACTGGATGTTTATTGGATCCTTTTTGTTTGAACTACGTCCAATTAACAATTAATATCTAAAATTAAATTTACTTTACGTTTGTCCTAATTGACGACAAACTTTTGAGTCCTTTCCTAATTAATTTTTTTTTACCTGGCATCAGTGTCATGTGAAAAGTCCTTTTCAACTTTATTCCGTTCTTTTTCATTTCTCTAATTGCTTCTATATACATGATGCCTACGTCCTTATCGTCTTGCGTGCCTCGACCAAAAATATCGCCGTTCTCATCCATGTGCGCCGAAAATGGTGGGTAGGTCCAGTCTTCCTGTGGAAGAAATCATCTAGCATCAGAATATTTTATAATATTAAGCCATGAAGAACATTTTGAAATTCCAACTACAGGTATTGTACCAGAGTTCCGCGGAGAATGTGCGGAGTGTGAATTTTGTGTTGGGTTTTTTTGCCTTTTATTTTTAATCGTTCCGGATTTCAGAACGTATTATCCACTAAATAGTCTGTCTTTTTTGAAGATGGAGTAAACTGACAATTCATTGTGCAAAAGTGTTGCCCGCTTGCGAGCAGCTAGTGATTGCAGTCGATAAATGTTTATCGACTGAATGTTGGTTAAGCTTAAGGAATTAATAGCCGAACTTATTTCATTTGAACCATCCTCGCTTCTTTATTCCTCCAATTACTGAGGACAAGTTCATTTGAATAATCAACTTTTGAAAGTTCATACACACATACACTGTATTTATAACTATGTTTATGAAAAAATACAGAGAGGAGACGTATTTTAAAGTTTTTCATTTTAATTCAATATAGATGATCAAATCCGTCCTATTCTTATTAAAATGTATATGAAAAAAAAATTAATCTTGATACTAGAAGACCAACTGTCAAAATAAGAATAAAGAAGACAATAACACAATTAGTAATCATTAGCGTCCTAAGGTTCACAATTCAGTTATTTTTAGCAAAATTTTATATTCTTTCACAACCTATCGATAAAACTACTACATAACTATTTAAAATTTTATGAAAACTGGCAACCCTACAAATGTTATTTACTCCGTCTTCAGAAAAGAGAGACTATAGGTACATGTTATTATTAATAATAATGATTATATAATAATAGGGCCCGTACAGCCCACACTACCTCTATCATCACCCATTAAGCAGTAAAAATGATAATATTTTTTTAACTATTATGTCCCACTAATAATAATAATAATAATAATAGTGGAAGTATCTCGATCTGGCGGCAAGATCACCGACATGTGGGACTAAAATAATCCCACACGTTGCGGACAGCAAAGGGGTTAAAGATTCAATTTGTCGAAAACATTGTGTACCTCTATGAATAAATCGTAACATTTTATGAGCTTTCTGAGTAATGGAGTCAAAATGCGGCGTATACAAAAGTTTATATTTATAGTCCAGTATAACGCCGAGATCGCGGACGACTTCAACTCTAGGAATTGAGGTAGCATTAAACAGATAAGAGATAAAATTACGCTTTCCGGTGAAGATGATAATTTATCATTTTTGACGTTCAGATCAAGATGATTCCGTCGACAGTAAGCATTAACACTATCCATTTGTAGTTTTACACAATCGGCAGCACAATGGATGGGCATGAAGATTTTTTTATCATAGGCATCATTGACTTACAAATAAATGGACGACGGGTCTAATACAAAAACCACGAAAAAAATGTCCCAAGTCAACCTATTTAAACGTAGTGACATGTAAAGGAATATGAAAAAGCTAAAACGTTGAATTTAAATTGTAATGTCATCGCAGTACTGTCTAATTTTGCTTGCTTCGCTGTCAGTCGTACAAACGAAGACTAAAGCGTGAATGACGCTCTGTATACGATTTTAACGCCCTATAAGTTCGGATACTTTTTAGCGCGGACCCGACGTCCATATAATTATAAGTCAATGACCGGCATACATTAAAACAATAGAGTACTTGAAGCATGACTCTATATCGTGTAGGTATATATTGAAAAAGTAAGGGACCTAAATGTGACCCTTTCGGTACGCCTGATTGAATGAATTCCAAATTCGATATAAAAGTTCTGTAAGTATTGGAGGCTGCAATCTATTACGAATACAGGATCTACAATAGAACGAGCTCACTCAGACTTCTACAGAATAGCATCATCTCTTGTTTAGCTATGGACTACCGTACGCAGTTATAGCGAGTGAGTAAAATTACCTCTTCAACTAAAACCACATCCATGTGCGAGTTGAGCATAATGCTGGGTAGAGAGGGCTCGGTCCCGTACCACGAAAGAACGCAAATCGGCAGACCGCCAGGGTAGTATACGTTGAAGTCCAATTCTAATTCTTGAGCTTTGCGTTTCCAGAAATCCACAGCTAGTTCTGAAATGTTACGAGGGATTTTATGGTAATTCAGTACCAATAGAGTGAAGTACTCATTATCAGTATAAGAAATGAGGGAGTAAGCGCCTTTACCCGCTTATACAGCAATAAACGTTTTATCTATCTATCTACATTAGATATTAATACTAACCTAGATTCTCTTCTTTAGAAGTATCGATTCTCACGTACTCCATAAAGTTTTTTACCACAGGGTTGTTCAAGTAACTGTCCAACAGGTATTTTTTGGGCAAGTGACCACACAGCACCAATGGTACACTTAGCAAAAGGATCAATAAAGTCCTCATTTTCCAAATTTTTACTTTTTTTACTCTGCAGAGAACAGTGTGGTTGGTGTTCAGTTGTTATGGTATTTTATACTATACTATGTACGTATAGTTATTTAAAATACCTATGTGGTTAACCTGTAATCAAATGACAGAATAATTAGTTGTAATTATTAATACGAATGTAGAACACTAAGAAAAATTCCTTCGATGCGCTGGATTCGAACCAACGTCTTCCAGCCAACCGTGCGAGACGCTATAGCAATTAAGCCGTGGAACGAACTAGTGGACCTCACGAATTTTTCTATGTGTTTGTTGCAGATCCTTGTTTTATAACGACCTTTGTCTCAACAAAAACTTTGTTTTGTAAATCAAAATAAAACAATAAATTTAGATGACAATGATTCAATTTCTTCTTGTAACAAAAAAAGTAAGGTTTGGCAATTAGGAATGAAAAATGATATCTGATAAATGTCCACCACGACGACCGATGATTTAACATCGCTGGATTGTTTTTTATGGGGTTATGTTAATGACATATACGGTGCCAATCCAATCGATTGCAGCCTTAAAACTCAAAATTCGTGAAGTGATTAACGAAATAGATCCACCATTTCGCCAAAAAGTGATTAAAAACCTTGATAAAAGAACCGACATCTGTGACTGTGGTCGTGGTGGACATTTATCAGATATCATTTCTCATTCATAATTGCCAAACGTTGCTTTTTTAATACAATAAAAATTTTGATCATTGTCTTCTAAATTTATTGTTTTATATTTATTTACAAAACAAAGTTCTTGTCGAGAAACCCTTTATTAATAATTACAAAAAACTTGTGGTGTAACTTCACAATAATAATAGAATATCATGGTGCTCAAACATCGTGACATTCAATAAAAACTTAAAAATTATAATTATTAGTTCTCACCACAAAAAGTGGACCACACACAGCATAAATTTAAAATCAAATAAAGTTCCGAACACTTCATATTTTAAGTAAAACCACTATTTGCATAAGGGCAGATAGCTTTACAATTCAACCAAGCTCCAATAACAATGATGTCATTTTGCAATTCAAATAAGAAATGTCTTAAGGCGGTTGCGCACTGGTTCTGATTCGTATCTGGGGGTCTACTCTCGATCTCCGTCCGACATCCGTCCGAAACAATTACTGTCAAATAAGTAATATTCGACAAAATTAAAAGACAAGTATCCAGTATGAAGCTTCATTCGCATCAAACATTTACCACACACACACACACACACACACACACACACACACACACACACACCACACTCACACACGCGCCCACACACCCACACATAGTTCACAAACTTTCAAACTGTATTGTTAGTTTAGTTACTTCACATATTTAAATTTAGTTTTCTTCTTCACTATTGTATAACCTTAATCGTAAACTTAGTTTTAACCTCTGCAATCATAGTATTAAGAGAAAGAGAGAGAGACCTGGTATCCTATATTACAAGCTTGTTGCAGTCTTTTGCAAACATAATATAAACTCTATTTTTGTCTATCTTTCTTTTGTTCATGTTCAGTTGTTATGTTTGTGGAGATAAATAAATACATTATTATTATTATTGTATTATATTATTATTTATGCATTTTTTCATTTGGCCAAGTATTGCTTATTTGGCAGTAATTGTTTCGGACGGAGATCGAGAGTAGACCCCCTGATACGGATCAGACGAAGTACAGAATCACACTTACTCGTCACGAATTACAAACTTTAAATCTGCCCTGGTCATAACAAAGCGTGTGCCGAATTTTCAATCTTTAATAATTCTTAATAATATAATATAATACCAAAAATATTGCAATAAAATGTATTTGTTTCAGTCGCGACAATGAATTGGAAACGTCAACTCAATGTTTGTGATGTAAAGAACAAACAACTGAACCAACTAAGAATTATAATAATAATGGATGTAGTACATGCAAAATATGTAGGAACAAGTAAACGACGCGATAACATGACCAATCGAATATATTTACAACTTATCTTTGGGTTAATTGCTTGCCTATGACCTGTATACTACTAGTATAATATGCCATGGGCAAAGATATAAATTGTAAATGTGTTCAAAGTTGTATTTAAAGAAGTTTTATCCACTGCATGTATCTCTTGGTGCTTTATTCAGTAATAATAATAAAACCGTTTATATATCGAACACATCAATACCTAAGTAACAGGTACGAGATTTTAAAATCTAATTATTGAATGAATGCATACAATACTTTTTCTACAAGTAAATAAAATAAAGAAACACAAGCAATATTTAATGCATTCTGTTAACAATCCATGACAACAAACTCAAATGAAAGCAAATATATCTAGCGTACTAGATGCACGCGGTGTTTCACTGATCTGCGGTGAAGACGCAGCACATCATTTAGTCGTTTGTCAAACATTCAAGATAGCGGACGCAGTTGCGGTTCTCTAATTTCCAACGGTGGTCACATTTCGCTATTTCACTAATTGTGTGAACATCATTTTAAATTTTTAGTATAATTCACTTTAATTCGGTAAGTACTGTTGTGGTTTTTGATTAATTTGTGTATTAATCCCATCACTTCGTATTATAAAAAAAACGTATAACGTATAATAAGTTTCAAAAAAGAACGTTGTATTTTTGCTAATAAGTTCAATTAAAAACCTCCTGATTAGTTAAATTGACCTAAAGATCTTGCAACCGGGCCGTAAAACTTTATTTAAAATAAATTGGCCACTTCTATTCTAACCCTTTGGTTTGGCCATAACAATTCGTAAAAAACTTAGTTCAGTTTTGAAACAGAAAATAATTAAAATCAATTAAGATAAGAAATACTTAGTAATAAGTATTTAAGTAGTATGTGGTTGTACTTCAATTAAATTATTATTTATATAACATTTTAAGCGAATGTTTTAGTTTTGAACTTATTTTATGCAATCATACCATTCACTCTTACGTTGACATATATAAATCAGACGTTATATGTAGGGTAAGTGTACCAGTGAATGAAACCCCTTAGTGTCTATAGTACCATTGATTTGTACCATCAATGGTACAAATGATACTACTATGTGTCCTTAGTACCATCAATGGTACTACCGATACTAGCACGTGTCGCTAGTACCATTTCATCGAAATCATACAAAAAATATATACATATAATAGGGGTTTAATAGTAAATAAATAATTCCAACAATTCATTGAGGAAAAAACCTTCTTGGCTGTTTCCGCTACGTTTAAGTGCTAGATTAAATCCCGGCCACTTCAAAGATTACAATCTTCTTTTAAATAACTCATTGGAAAGCATCTTGTCTTTTGCCGTAAACAAATGATTACATTGACATTATAAGTAAATGTATTAATTGTGGGATGGATTATGTGTTTTTAATTAAAAAAAACGTATTCAATTCTAAACCTAAGGGATAAAATGGATATTAGTAATGAAAAACCAAATGTGAGCAGTGACCAAAATGATATAAAAATAGTCGCTCGTGGACGAGGCAAAGTGTTACTCTACAACGGCCACCAATATTATTTCCACGTGCGGTATAAAAACAACAATTGTTTGTGGAGATGTAAAAATTACAAAACCTTTAACTGTACTGGATCCGTTACGATTACCCAGGTAAAGTTTTAAAAAAAAAAGTTAATTAGCTTTTTTTATTTTTGCTTAGGGTCAATTCATGTTTAAGCTAATTTCGACCTTATTGGCATTTTGTAACTATAATGATTTTTCACACTTCTTTGATTAGTTCATTTTTGTATTAATTAGGCTGGTTGTTTCTGTGTACATTGTTTAGTGTAGTAGCCATTGTACATTGAAGTTTGCGTTGTGTGTGACATGTCCATCCGATAGGTATTTGTATATTTTTATTTTATTTTTAATTTTTATATTAAAAAAATACAAATTAATTGTAGCCGTACAAAAGTTCAAAAATTTAGTATCAATTTCTGTTTACTCCAGGATCAGTCAAAGTTGGTACAACAAAGGCAGCATTCAGAGAACTGTTTACCAGACGAAAATGAAAACATTATGTGTATTATCACAAGCTCAAGCTTAGACAGAGCAGCATCAAATGTCGAAGAGACAGTACCTGCGGTTTACAGAACTACCATAGCATCAATGAAAGATACAGGACTACACTTGATTAAGAAATTACCCACGTATAACAAATACAAATGCAAAGCATACAGAAGAAGAAGGAAATTGGCAGGAGTTGAGAAGATGGCATACAATGACATGAAAGAAGTTGAAGTGCCTTCAGATGACTTCCTTCTTGCTGATTACCGTGATGGCAACGATCGTATCCTGATTTTTGCTCTAAAAGAAGCGAGGGGAAATTGTGCTTAACGGAAAAGTGTTCTTATGTGACGGGACCTTCAAGAATTGCTTGAAACCGTTCTATCAGCTTTATGTACTTTTTTGTGATATAGGCAGCACCGCAAATGAAAATAATGTGATTCCTGTAATATACGCACTCCTACCGAATAAGAAACAGAAGACTTATTTGATTATGTTTGAACTAATCAAGTCACAGATACGGATGTCTACAAACGAAAAAAACTGGGAATGGGAACCCCATAAATTTATAACAGATTTCGAACAAGCGGCAATAAATGCCATTGAACGTGCATTTCCCCAGGTGTTACATCACGGTTGCTACTTCCATTTCCTGGATAAAATTAAAAGGAAAGCTACGCAACTTAAAATCCTACATAAATTTAAAAAAAAATAGTAACAAAAACTTAAATAAAATAGTGAGCTTGTGCATGGTTCTCCCTCTTTTGCCAGAGTCCAAAATAGAAGAAGGTCTGAATTATATAATTGCAGAGAGTGTAATTATTGGTACTACAAAAGAAGTTAATGATTTGTTAAAGTATATAACACATTTTTGGATGCCGAAAAAAGCACAGTGGTGCAGTTTTGGCGAGAGACATCGAACAACGAATTGTTGCGAAGCATGGAACGGTCAATTTAACAAGCGTTTTATGAGAAAACCTACCACAACATGCCAATTTCTAAAAGTTCTAAAAACAGATGCTGCATACCATTCCGTAAATGCTTTGACAACAGAGCCACAAAACTTAAGATCAAAAGCGGTGATCGACCGCAACAATTACATTCAACACGTGCAAATGCAATTAATTCAAGGCGACATTACAGTCGCATTGTTTTTAGAAAAATTGCGTCGTTAGAAAATGTGAGTTTTATTTTCACAAGTAAATACACGGTATAAACAAGTATAATTTTCAATGGTACTAAGGACACATAGTAGTATCATTTGTACCATTGATGGTACAAATCAATGGTACTATAGACACTAAGGCAATGAAACCTTAAGGAAATTCTCAACTTTTTAAATTTATTAATAATACAATTTCAATATTCTTACAGCCTGACGTCTACCATGGTGACCTCTCACTATTTAAGATTCATTAAAACGATTCTTCAGAGTTGTATTTAGAACAGTTATCAAAATATTTGATAAAATATCTGAAAATACCCTGAATCACCAGTGAATGAACGCCTTTTGCTAGTAAATGAACGCAATAAAACCCAGTAAATGAACACAAATATTGTATTTATAAAATAATCAAAAACATAAATGTTTTAAAAACATTTCACAGTAATTGTTACACTAACTTAAGCTAAAGTTACAAATATATAACAGTGACTGAAGTCATTGTTTAAATCAACCCAAAAATGTATTTCAGTCTTAACTAAACTTTAACTCACAGGATAACATTCTTAAAGTATTGGCATAACATAATTAGGTACCTATTAAAGTTATACTTATCTAATTATTTCAGTCTCAAAATATACACCTAGTACCTATGTAACAAACATTAATAGGAACAGCATAATATAATATAAAGAGATCTTTTTTCACTTACTACCTAGCTAAGAATGAAGAAGAAGGACTCACTCTATGTCTTTAAAGCTTACGTCAGTAAAAGAGATCATTCCTCGTCGTGAACAATTTGGTTCATCCAGAACACGTACAATGTCAGAAACATGTACTTCTGAAATATCTGGGACTTGGGGCTTAACAAAACTAACAACATTTTCAACAACTTTCTTCTTTCTCAAAAAATCTATCTTACATTTTAATCTTTCGTCGTCAATCA